TATATTGGAAAGAATTTATTAATAAATTAGTTTTAATGAACAAATTAATAACTTTTAAAGTTTCAAACTTCACGTCATATATGGGGACGTATTTACTGAACGTTAGAATCACTAAACATGTGATAAATGGTAAACAAAAGTTTTGCGCAAAACGTGTTTCCAATTGCAGTCAAACTATAATAATCGCGCGATTCATTGAATGCCGGGCTTTGATTGCAAGCGTTTCCCCGATCTGTCAGTCGTTGAGTCCCTGTCTTTGGCCGACAGTTTAAAGTGTGGTATTTGTCTCAATGTATTGGACAAAGCGGTGGACACTCGATGTGGACATACCTTCTGTCACGAGTGTCTCAATCAATGGCTCTCAAGACCGCAGACCACCAAAGAGTGTCCCGAATGTCGCCAACCGTTGGCCTCAAGAAAGCGGTCCAGAAGTCAGTCCACGGATGCAAATGAAGTCATAATTGGAGGCAATGTTCTGGTGGGCAAAAATCGACGCATAAATGAAATGATCGGTAAATTGAAGATCAGATGTGAATACGAGTGGAACGGATGTCCAGAAGTGTGTCCATTGGAGTCGTTGTCCACTCATCTCAAGACATGTCAACACAAATGGTGTCAAACATGTGGTCTATCTGTGGGTCTCGTAAGGGATGACCACAACTGTATTGAAGGCCTTAAGAGAGACCGAAATGAATGGACACAAAGAGCCCAAGAATTTGAGATAAGATTAAAGGAATCCAATGAAATGGCATTGAATTTGGAGAAGAAATATAATTCACAACAAAATGAATGGCAAACGAAATGCAATGAATGGATAGAAAAGGACAAAGGATTTGATATACAAACTAAAGAAATGGAAACAAAAATCAAAGAATTGGAGACAAAACTACAGGAATCTGAAGAAAAAGTACAGAATCTGAAGAAATTATGCACTGAAATGCACGGATTGCACAAAGACTTCCAGGATTTGGAGAGATCAGTGAAGACATCACCAGTTGTCGCAAAACAAGTGATTCCTTTAGCATTAATTCCCAAACGTTTACTGTTTGGCAAATGTGTCACAACAATCGGATCCATTGAATTCAATAAATTTGGTATTGTTTTCAATAATATTGTGTCCATTAATGCCGTCATTAAAAGTATTGCAACAATTTATTTAACATATAATGAGATACACTGTCTGTACGCTTGTGTTGACTCTTCACTGCCATTGCTGTGCATTAAACCCAACAATAATCGTGGGTTTGTTGTCGACGCCAACTATTGTTCAATAACTGATTTAATCAATGACTGCCGCTTTGATGTCAATTCAATTGGTTTGCTATACTATTATTGTGTATAAAAACTATTGTTTATTAATTGCATTATTATTATCTCATTATCTCTTGACATTAGATTCGAGCGAAAGGTTTATTATCATTGAATTGAGAGAAGTATTGAGTGAAACATTTGTTTCGCAATTGTGTGAGAAATGTGTGGATAATAACAATTTCGAATTCAAGACAATTGGTCCGAATTGCGGACAACTGATGATAAGACAGGCGGTGAATGCCATCATGTGATCCGTCGGTATTCAACACATTTTTGATAAAGAATTTAAACCATTTTTTTTATAAAATATGACAATATTTGAATCTTATGAACGGTTTATTAATACATTTGTTAATTATTTAGTTATTTAGTATAATATTTATATTAAATTTCATTTATAACTCATAAGTATAAACAATAAACAGAACTTTTTTCATTTATTTAAAAGTTTTCAATAATTTATTTAAACGTCAGAAACAATTGCGCAAAAATACTGTTGAATATAATACATTTATATTACGGTAATATATCATGGTCAATTATATCAAATGTCATAATGTAATTCATAATATGATTGTATGATTCAATCAAAACTTGGCGTCATTTATATTACCGTATTAATTTATTGAATAAAGAAATTAATGAAAATTAGATTTACATTTAGAAAACATTAAATATTTATAATATACTAAAGTTGTTGTGTATATATTTAGATAACAATTAAACCAAATAAAATCTACATTAAATACTCAATTATAAATAGTTATAAATTATAAGAATTTAAAAATAAATAAATGTAAAAATCAATAATATTGAAAGATATGTTAAAATATTTCAATTGTCGCATAATTTTGATAAACAATTACAAATGTATGTCTGATATGATTATCGCTAATCAAACGGATATTTGATTTGAAATAATAGACGTTTACTTAAATTATAATCTATTAATTAGTTTTAAGACAAATGTTTCTGTGTTTTTGAGTCAAACAAATCGATCGCATATAATATTAAACACGATTTGTGTGCAAACAATGTCTCCAAAGAGACCACAAAACCAAATGAATGCAAAGGAAGACAAGAATTTGAATCGAGGCGTCGATGTCTCGGGTGTTCACAAATTGGTTCCCAATTTTGATTCACCGTTTGATGAATCAAATGAATGTCAGTTAACCGACGGCTCGACACCGAAGAAGGAGACAAAGAAGAAGAAGAAGTGGGGATTCAATGGATTCAAGAATCTCTTCAAACCGAAGAAGAACTCAAACGGCGGACAAATAACTGGCGATGAAGTGGAAGACCGAAGAATATTCGTCGAAGACTTGCGAACCAAAGACAATATGAACGACAGATTTCACGACATTCCCAGCGATGATCACTACCCGGAAGTGTCGTCCCAGTCATCGGTGGCCGGCAATAGTGTTTCGTCCGGGAATTCAATCGGTTTGAGACAAACGACCACTTATTTGGAAAACAACTCAGACGACGACGAGTTGTCTGAAGATTTGGAAGCGATGGACGACCGGAAGGATGAGATCCGATCCCTTGATGTCCTCATCAAACAACTCAACACAGATAAATCGTCCGAATAGTGGTCTAAATTGTAGTTTATTTTAAACATTGATTTTTCAAACTTTTTGTAATGTTTTTATGTTATCATTCATTCAATGTATTTGTATTTAAATAAATTTCTTTGATTTGTTTTCATTAAATTTATTCTTGAATTTCATTTAATTTCATTAATTAATAACAAAACTTGGTTTAAATTTGTAATAAAACTTAATGTTATCTCAAACTTGTGGTCATTTATTGGCCGTAATTATTGAGCGATTGAAGCATTGAATCACTAAAAATTGAATAAAGATTTGAAACCAAAATATTTGCTAAAAAAGTTGTTTTGAAGTGATTTTAATAATCATTCAATCAATCCATTCATTCAATGCCTGGCTTTCATTGCAATCGTTTTCCCGATCTCGAGACCAACCAGTCTTTGGCCGCTTTGACCGATGGTTTCAAATGTGGTATTTGTCTGCAAGTGTTGGACAACTCGGTTATCACTCGATGTGGACATACCTTCTGTCACGAGTGTCTCAATGAACGGCTCTCAAGACCCCAGACCAGCAAAGAGTGTCCCGAATGTCGACATTGTTTGGTCAATAAGAAGCGGACAATGGATCAGATGAATGATTGCAATACTTTGGTTATCGGAAGCGATGTTTTTGTGGAAAGAAATCGACGCTTAAATGGATTGATAGAGAAACTGAGGATC